GGTATGTAAATTATGTCGTCATAGCACGATGTTAAGTCAACAGGTGCTTTATGAAAAGCGATTTTAGTTTCTCGATGATTTGTACTGGAAACTCCCACCAAAGAAAGTTTCCCATTAACGATTCAGACTATATGCCTAAATAGAACATTATTATACTTAAATATTACTTGAAAAATGATGCTTTGCAATTTTTATTTTGCTGAAAAATATACAAACCATCCCTTAGCATTCTGTGCTATGCTATCTTCAAAAATAACAAACGTAGAAAATCCATAGCAGTCGAATAAACCAAATTTTACTACATATCTTTCTGATATTATAACTTCATTGTCAAGAACAATACCAAAGGCGTCATAATAACCGCATCACCAGAGTCAATTTCGTTAAATTACCGAGGCATTCTTTATATTGATTCAATTTAAAACAAGAATAACCTAGATGCCTTAGTGTCACTGTGTTATTAGGATCAAGCATCAATGATTTAGTTAAATCTACATGAGATTCATCATAGTTCCCTAATTTGTAATGTATTTGTCCTCGAATTCCTAGTGCAACTGCATGATTTTTAAAGATTTAGTTAAATCTGTAAGAGATTCTTTATACTTATTTAGCGCGTAATATGTTTGTCCTCGAAAACTTAATGCATCCGCATCATATGGTTCAAATTCTATCGATCTATTCTAATGATTTTGTTAAATCTTCAATTGATTCGTTATAATTCTCTAAGTTATAATGAACTAGTCTTCGGACTTTGCACTATTTGGTTCAATGCTTTATTTAAATCTTTGAGTTGTAATATTTACTAAACTTACCCTCGAGTTTTTAATGCATCCAAATTTTCTGGTTCAAAGTCTAATAGCTTTGTTAAATTCTTTATTGATTCTCTGCACTTTTCCAAATTATAACAGGATTGTCCCCGAATTCTTAGTGCAATTATATTTTTTGGATCAGTTTTCAATGAATTCGTCGAATCATTGAGGATTTCTCATATTTTTTCATTTTATAAAAAATTATCCTCCATATCCTAATGTAATTGCATTGTTCGGATGATTTATTTAAATCTACAATGGATTCTTCGAACCGATTTAGCATGCAATATGCTTGATCTCGAGACCTTAGCGTAATAGCATTACTATAATCAAGCTCTAATGATTTATTTGAATCAGAAAAAGATTCTTCGTAGCGTCCTAACACATGTAAAGTTTGAGCTCGAGATCTTAGTGTATCAGGGTCATTTAAATCCTTTTCTAAGGTTTTGCTTAAATCGGCAATCGATTCCTCATAACGTTTTAGCATATATAATGTCTGTCCTCGAGATCTTGGCGCGACAGCATTATCCGGTTCTATTATTAATGATTTATTTAAATCTATAAGAGATTCTTCATTAAGACCTAATACATAGTATATTTGTCCCCGAGATATTAGCGAAACTAAATCATTATCAACAATACTTAATAATTTAGTTAAATCTGTAAGCGGTTGTTCATAATTTTTTTGTTTAAAATAGATTAATCCTCGGAATTTTATCACATCTATATCATTGGGATTAATTTCCAGTGATTTATTTAAAAAAACGAGAGATCCTTCACGATTATTCGACTCATAACAATTTAATCCTTGAGCTTTTAGTTCATTCACATCGTCTGGAGAAGATTTTATAAGATTTTTTAAACTATGCTCATTTAACATCTGTATGCCATTCTTGGTTAAAATAGGTTTTGTTTTTCAATTACTATTTGCAATATACTCCTCAACTTTTGGTATTTTATTAAGAGTCGCCAAAATTTCTATTGTTGTTGGTCGTTTCTGTGGATCAATATCCTAACATTTTTTATAAAGTTCATAGAAATCAATTGGAGTACTAGGAATTGTACTTTCTCGGTAGCCTAATAATTTTTGAAAATTTATGGCAAATTCATCAATAGCGCTTTCAAATGAGGCGGTTCCACTTGTAAGTTCCCAAAGTATTACACCTAAACTATAAACATCTGATTTTTCGTCACGTTTTTTTTTCAGGATTGATATGGCATTGTGAATCAATGTATGCTGGTGCGCCATGGAAAGTTGTGCGTGAAGATACTAAACTATCATTTACTTTTCTTGATAAATCAAAATCTGAATTAAGAATTTGTCATTATTTTTTAAAATATTTCTAGGATGCTTAAAAATTATTAAATCATCAGTTTAGATAATTGATATAAATAATAAAACAAATGTAAATTTTTATGCAATTAATTATATTATTGTCGTGTAAATGCATCAATCCGAGAGTAATTTGCTTTGCAATTTCGATAATTTCGTTTAATGATATTTTAAAAACGTTCTCATGCCATTTGCTTTGTAAATATTGTCTCATTGGCAAACTGCAGTACCAACATATGATCTTTCGTTTTAGGATCTAAGATTATTAAACAAAAGCTAGAATTATTACTTAAAGAATTTAAGAATACAACATGCATTATTAACGATACCTATCGTAATTCCATAGAATTGGTTAACATTAGGATGAAATACAAGAGCGCGCAGTTGTCTAAGCTATAATGATATTATAATTTATTAGATTGTGACCAAACACTGGATATATCTAAAAATATATCACCTCTTTAACAAATTCTCTAGTTGTTTCTTTAGTTTTGAGACTTTTCAATGCGAATCAGCCGAACTTACAAGTCCAAACCCGCCTTTATAAATTTAACGTTTTGAAAATCAATTTCATTGTACTAAATAAAAAGTGCACTAAATAATTAAAAGAAACATACCTTTTCCAATATCCTTGATATTGCTGAACTGAGAATATTCGTAAAAGGTATATTACCTTTATCCTGTTCCCCCTTCAACCAATCAAGGTATTTTTCTGATGCATTTGTTAATTATAATCAGTGTATATTAAATTTTTGCATTATCGATTTGACTCGAGATTACTATAATTCGTAAAAATATTCCAGATTTTAAATACTGGTTGCAGCGGTCCTACTTACATACCTATACTTTAAATGAGCTCATTTCGGGCATGATTTTCACGAGTGTTTAGAATCGAAAGTTTTGGGTCAAAATGCATCAAAAACGTAACTTTCTACTTTTGATATTTGTCAGAAAAATTTTTGAAAGTTTTCAAAATTTATTTACGAAAATTTTTTATTTCTCTTTATTTCTTTTATCTTTACTCATGCAAATTCTACCAAAGTTTGCAAATTTCTAAATTCATGAAATTTCCTAGTTATAAATTTATGTATCATGGGACTACAAAATGCTAAAATTTCAACAGTAGTTTCAACAGTACAGTTTACATTAAGATAAAATTTAATTGCTAAAGAAGCTTAAATTTTGAGTACAGCTTAAATCATGAAATAATTTGTAAATTTAAATCTTTGATCCGTGTTGAGGGTTATACAATAAAGTATAAATTACGAAAAACCGCAGAAAATTTGTATAGTATAAAATAGGTAAACTTATAACAAACTGACTTTTAAAAAATTCACGCCCGATATATAAAAATATCCTCGATATCATTATTAGATCGAGAAGAATCTGATATAACCAAGTTACGATGTACATTTGGAGGTCTAAGATAATCAATCTTATTTTCAACTACATTAGGTAAATCTGGTAAATTTAATTCTTTACCAGAAATTAAATTTTCTAATGCTTCATGAACAAATTCAGTTTCAGGTCTTTTTTCAGGATCTAAATCCCAACAACGTTGATAAAGAGTAACATAATGTTCAGGAGTATTTTCTATAGGGGTTTCTCTCTCTCCTTTGAAAATTTGTATTACTACAGCATCCCTTGGTACAATAGATTCAAATGGTGGTCGACCACTAGAAATTTCCCAAAGAATAACACCTAAACTATAAATATCAGATTTCTTATTTCGTTTATATGAATGATTAATTAAGCATTGAGGTTCTATATATGCAGGAATTCCATGCCCAGCTGATGAAGTAATGGAGGACTCATTTTTGGATATTCCAAAATCTGCAATCATCATTTTCCCCTCATGAACCAAGATATTTTTAGAATGCTATAAAATAATAAAAGTAATAAATGTTAATCATAAAAAATTGTTTGAAAATAATTTGAAAATAATTAAACAAATTATATTAATATGTTCTTACAAGGTCAAGATGAACAATATCATTAGAATGCAAGAATAAAAGACCCAGTGCTATTTCCTCAGCAATACGTAATTTATCAGCCCATTGAAGGGCAGAAAAATTTTGCCTTAAATAATTTCTTAAATCACCATCAGCAGCGTATTGTAAAACCATTCTATAATTCGACGTGAGTTGATCCGTAAGCGGTTCTAAAAAAAAAAATAATAATTGGGAGTTAAATTGTTAATGATTATTATATTAAATAGTTGTACCAATGTGGAATGGTTTACCTTTAATTATACCATAAAATTGTATAATGTTTGGATGAAAACTGACTTTTTGTAAATGTCTAAGCTGTGCATATAATATATAAAAACTCAGTGCTTAACTTTAATGATTAAAAATAACTAACGATTTAAATTTTAAATAATCAATACCTCCTTAATAAATTCTTGACTAATTATATCTTCATTACCAGTTAGACTCTTAAGAGCCACAGTAAGTTGACAGTCTTTCCATAAAGCTTTGTGTACAACTCCCCTGAAAGTCATAACAATCAACTCGAGATTAACGAATTGATTATAATCAAAAAAGTTTATAAGATCATCTTCGATAGCTTTCTGAAGCCATTTTATTGAAAAATTTGATTTATTTATTATAGGTTCAGTACTGTCGCCTCTTTCTAAATGCATGATCTTTATGTGCGAATTTCTAATCTCTTTATGCAACTTTTTATTTAATTCAATCTTATGAAAACCTTAAATTCGAAAATTTCTACGTACATTTAGTTTTTATGTAAAATCTTTGTGTAATGTTACAACTGCATGCGCACGATAACCTCGTGATGCGAGTCATGCATTTAGTATCATTAACGTTAAAAATAGACTAGGGACTTGACATAAAACCAAATGCCTCGAGTCATGTGAATATTGTGAAACTTCGGGTATCCCGTTCCCTTGTGAGTCTGGCAGAAGACTTTATTAAAGATGTAAATTACTCTTATTAAATTGTGGGTTTTTTTTTTAAAGTATTAAAATACTACATACAATGTTTTATTATACATAAATATACAAGAGATTGCATAAAATTCCATTAAGCCAACCGTGAATTTGTACAAAAATTACAAAGTTACAAGCAGAAATGCGATCCGTTTTTCCAACTGTATTTAAAATTTAACGGATATCCGGATATCCGAATTATTCATAATAATTTTGTTATAAAATTAAACTAATGGATATCAAGATCGCACCTCTAATTACAAATATTGGAAAACTTCGTAATCCTCTATTTGAAAACACCCATCTAAATCACGAATTTTACATTCGTAATCAGATTTATAACACCCCCAAGTTTTCCCTTTTTTACCAGAAGCCATGAAAAGGTCAAGACTGAAGGACGGACCAAGACCTTTTTCATGATATATAGCACGTTTAGAAAATGCAATTTTCGAAAAAATTGCATTTTCTAAATTTCCTCGTTTTAAAGAAAAAATAAAACTATCACGAGTCTCTGAATAACAGGAATCGGTAGAACTAAAACTACCGAGTTTTTTCCACTTTAAAGGATTATAACCCCCAATTACTTCGGGGGAGTCTTTGATTTGTAAAATTAAAATAGTTCTTTCAATTTTTTGTATTTTTCTAAATAAAATGTCCTTGCCGAACCCATCAACTTTCCCTTTAAGGAGTAATTTGAGTTTATCCGGAATTATAAACGCATCAATATTATTAAGTGAAGGATCGATACGGGAAATAATCTCCCTTGAATCTTCAATAGTAATTAAGGTTGAATTAATTTTAGGATTCTTGATCATGTTTAAATTTTCAAGAATCCTTTCAGCATTTGGACGTTTAATTGGATCTTCATCCCAACAACGCTCGTACAAGTTAACATATTGAGATGGAGTACCTTCCACAGGAGTTTCTCGGAGCCCTGCATTTATTTGTATAACAAAAGTTTCTCCGAATGTAATAGATCCATATGGAGGTTTCCCACTAGAAATTTCCCAGAGGATGACACCCAAACTATATATATCGGATTTATAATTGCGATGATATAATATATCCTTGAAACATTGAGGATCGATATATGCTGGCAAGCCCCTGACAGTTGATATTTGGACCGACGAGACGTCCTGTAATTGGTTTGAAAGACAAAAATCCGAAATCATCATTCTTTTTTCATGAACGAGAATGTTTTTTGAATGCTAATATTTAAAATGAATAGTATTAGTAAATTATTATCAATAAATTCTGATCAATAAAATTTTTTTGAAAGATAAATTGTTTAACAACTTCCTTTTAACGATTAGAATTTTAGATTTAAGTTTATTTGTAAACTTACAAGATCACGATGAATAATTTTATTTTTGTGTAAGAACATTAGGCCAAGTGTGATCTCTTCAGCGATGCGTAATTTATCAGCCCATGAAAGGGCTGAAAAATTTTTCTTTAAATAATCTCGTAGGTCGCCATTTTTTGCATATTGGAAAACCATATTAAACCCAGTATTTGGATCTATTTTATAAATTCTTTATGTTAAGATATGTTAAATAATCAAAACTATCAAAGAATTATATAATTATAAAAAAAAATCACAACCTTTTGTTACGCCATAAAACGTAATAATATTCGGGTGAAAACTTACTTTTTGTAAAATTTTAAGCTGTGCATATTATACAAAAATTTAGTGTCTAATTTGTAAAAAGGTTTAATTAAACATAAAATCAATAATAATAATAATTATAATAACCTCTTTTATAAAATCATTAATTATTCTTTCATCATCTATATTGTCTTTTATACATTTCAGGGCGACAGGTAACTTCGTTTGATTCCACATATACTTTCGATATCCACCCATACTTATCTCATCAAGGGGAGAGAAGTGACCATAATAAAATAAGTTGATATGCTCCTCTGAGATCGCACGTTGAAGCCATTTTTTCAGAGAGTTCGTTTCGGCGTTGGGGGTAAACATTTAAAAAAAAGACTTGATACGTAATTAAAATTTTTGTTTAACGTTAAATATAGTTTAGTGTTATGCAAATCATTTTCATATGACCATTGACCTATAATTAACTTTTTATTAACATTTATAGTATCGGGTATTCTTCATTTATCTTTGTCGTAACATATAAATATCGATATCTGATATGTAATATCGGTATCGACATTATTATTGCTCGAACAGTTGACTATTAAAACATACTGAAAGTCAATGAGAAGCTTATTCGCTATCCCTATACAAACTAATTAAAAACTGTAACGTGCGTAAATAAAATGTAACGGACATTACTAATTTATAATTTGAAAACAGAGACCCCGTACGGTTGACACAGCTGCGAAGCCTTATTACTCTCAGATGGGTCCTTGCACTGCTACATAGACCGCAGAGCCCTTTTTGCTTTTCAAGGTCATCACATCATTGTGTACTAGGAGAGAAACATTGGGGCGATAGAGCCGGCATTCATTACGAGGCGAGCGATAACGAAATAACCCCTTAACGATCATTCTACTGTAAAACATTCAATACGTTTCGCCTCACTGATCATACTCAGAAACATATGAATACCTCCTTACTTTACCCGTTTGCTAACTCACAACAATGACAAATCATATGCGATCATAACATTTACTGCATCTAACGAGAAAATTCAGGAATTTATTACAAAACAGCCGTAAAAGGCTAAAATAACAAATTTACATGTGATTCGTAAATTCATCTGATCTCGCTGTCACTTCTCATTTTTTTGCAGTATTCTTATTCTTGACAAATCTAGAGCAAAAAGAATTAGAAATAAACTTTCATTACATACAAATGTAAAAACTTCAATAAAAATACATATATATATAAATATTATTTTCTAAATTTTAACAAACAATAATAATTTATCGATGCAATATAATTAATTAAATGTTTAACGATAATATAACTTTTTTAAAAGGGAATATATGATTTAAAGATAATATGATTTATAAAAAAATAAAATAAAATGAAATAATAATATGTAATATAAATAATACGCATCTAAGTGCAGCACAAAAAAAAATTTAAATTTGTTTCATTATTTTTGCCCTTACACGCCCTAAATCCGCAGAACAATCAAAACCATTAGAGGTTGATTTTTTAAACCATTCAAGAGCTTTTGACAAGTCTCTTGCCGTTCCATTTCCAAATTCATAACATCGACCAAGTTCGCATTGAGCTTCAGGTAAACCTTCTTCAGCAGCTCGCATAAATAATTCGAATCCTTTTGATACGTTAATATTCGTTCCTCTTCCTTTTTGAAAGCACAATCCAAGTAAATGTGCTGCTTTCACGTTACCCTTTTCAACAGCTTTTTCCAATTCCGTAATTGCGAGATAAAATTTTTGTTTCCTATAATAGTAAGCACTAAGAGAATATCTAGCAGCGAGACATTCATCTTTTGATTTTTTAAAACAGGCAACGGCTTTTGAACTCTTCTTTTTAGTATTCCAACCTTCTTCAAAACATTTTCCGACGAAATATTCGGCAAAAGAATTTTTACTTGCAGCAGCATTTTGAAAAAGTTCAAATTCATTTCCTTTAGTACCATCAGTTCCAATATTAAAATGATAAAATAAACCTAAAAGACAAATATAATCCGATTTGTCTTTATTATAAAATAATAACCATTTAAAAATATCTTGAGGTGATTTAAAATTTCTATCTAAAAAACCTTTAATAATTTCGGGAATAGATTTTATTCCTTTATTATATAAATTGTAAATTTCACTATATAAACGATCCACAACTCCAATCATTGGGTCGTGATTAAGTGAAAATATTTGATCAAGGCAAGCGCTGAAAGCTTCAGTACTTGTAACATCTATAGTGGCTCCTTCATCTTTATTATCATTGTTTTTATTGATATGGTTTTCATTATTGTTATTTATATTTTCTATACTAGACATTTTTTTTACAGTAATTTACAAGCAGGAGAATTTTTATTTTTTTTTGTTTTTTAGGTTTTAGGCAAAGACAGAAGAATTAATTCTCTCACCGTCTTGCAAATTCTGCAAATTGTTTATAAATTATTAGTATTTGTACTCGTACTACGTGACTCATCTTACACAATAGTAATTGATTTCCTTATCGCATTACAAACACACAATATTATTACATCACTAAAAAACATTATTATAAAAAATTGTTTCTTTTTATAGTACAAGATTATTTAAAAATAAAAGATTATAAAGAATGTACAAAACTTTGTGTATAAAAAATTATAAATAAGTATAAACATTATTGATTTACAGGTTGAAATTGTTGTTGTTGTTTGGCTTTATAATTTTTATACAAATAAATTAACACGCCTACAGTAATTATGAAAGACCAAGACACAATATATGGTAAATAATATAAAGGTCTTTCTTCTGTCGCAGGAAGTGGGAAAAGTGTTGCAATTGCAACTAAAATAATGAATACCAAAAAGAATATATGTAAATTGAACGGTACTTTAAAGCCAACACCCTTAAATTTGCCTCGCAAAGTAATTAATCCAACAGCACTGACACCGTAGTAAATGGCCGTTAGGTACAGCGATATATTAGCAAAAAATATAAAGAAGCTCGTTCCTGTTGATAAAAAAAATAAGTGATCATTTAAGTTTAACTTTATAAAAATTTTGAAAACTTTGTTGCGCCTTATTGAGAATTGAATTCTTACCTGTTGGAAAGAACAAAATTAAAACCGCACAATAACAGAATTGTGCAATTAGGGCTATTGTCGGTGTATTAAACAAGAAACTCCATTTGGTGAACCTTTTTAACCCCCATTGGGCAAATACCCCAGGTATAAACTCTTCTATTGAGGAATAAACTATGATTCGAGATCCTCTATTAATATAAATAAATAATAAATAAATAACGATAAGTAAATATAAATATTCTGTATCGAATATATTTATTTGGGATGAACGTGAATAAACATACGTAAAAACCATCGAACCAACGGCCCCGAAGGAAGAGATGGCAATAAAAGTAGAAACAAGTTTATTTCCTATTTTATTACCAATATATTCCCCAAAATATATACCAATAACTTTACTGGCGTCACCACTATAGTTAGAAGTTGCGACGGCAGGGTTTACCGTCATTATAAAAGCTAAATTTATAAGAATATCTATATAACAAAAAAAAAAAAATAAATAAAATTTTGTTATTAATGAAATTTAAATGAATTGTTGAATCGTTGAATTTTTGAATTTTCGAATTTATGATATTTAAACATACATAATACAATACTAATGAGTATCGAAAATATATTTGAAAAAACCAGGTTCCGCTCGGGGCTGTCCAATTCGTCAATTAAATCTACAAAAAAATTAATTGAATCAATTATTAGCATATAATTAATCAATTGTAAATTTCATTAAATTGTTGAAAAAAAATACTTACAATTTACATCGTTCCATCCTTTTAAGTAGAGCAAAGAAATATGAGAATATGTTTATGATCACTTATTTCAACTCCAAAAAAAAAATAATAATAATTTAACATACCTTCGTATGTATATAAAACCTTTATAATTTAAATGAATAATTTTAATTAGATTATAATCATAAATATCAATTATATTTTGTATTTGATATTTTTATTGTTAACCAACCTTTATCATGGCGTCGCCATAACTTCCGATGCTTTCCACAAGAGTTTTATTACTATTTATTGTGCCATTATTAAACACGTTTGTGCCCTGATTTTGTTTTTCGCCAATTTGTTGTGCGCCAATTATTATCCCTGCAATAGCGAAAGAAAACAACGCTGCAACCTTAAAAATTGCAAATGTTTGATTTATATACACGGTTAAGCGGTTGTTGCAACCGCTGTATAAAGTTATAATAAACAAGATGGCGATTGATATGAACCGAATTTCACTAATAAAGTAAAAAAGAACTGATCATTAAAAAAAAAGGTTCGTGTACTGTATTTTATTTTAAGTTAAAATATAACTTACTAGAAATCAGGGTTGGTGAAAAATCCGTCGGGGTTTAAATACTCCGTTGAATTACCTTCACCTCGTATGAGGTATAAAAGGTACTGTGCACAAACATATGTATCCCCGACAATCGCCGTAGGACGAATTATACTTTTTTAATAGAAATTATACAAATAACGGTTAAATAAATTTAATTAAAGGTACGATTTGTATTTTGTCTAAAATGTATAGTACTTACAAAATCATGGCAAAACAAAACGTGCGGGTGATAACCTGATGGGGGTGGCGAAATGCCTCCGCCAAATAGCGGAGCTCCCCCGCTCCACGAGGAAACTTAGAACCAAGCTATAGAATTAAAAGATCAAATTTTGACACATGAACTTTTTTTGAACTTTTATTGAGTTTTCTTATTATTAAAACTCATAAATCTATTACGATTGATTACCTCTGTGTAGATCAGGCAGCCTAGAAGGCTGCCAATTCCACCAATTACCCAAAAGGCCATGGCAACAATTGGCGATTTTGTCAACCGCCATACATCACCCGGTAGGACGAAGATTCCTATGCAAAAGAGCAAAAATGACAATGAAACCTCCATATAAAGTCTAATATAATAATGTTGATAATCATACATAACAACACAATATAGATATGTATATTCACCGCTGCCAATTATATTATTAAGGGAGAATCCACTCCCCGTTAAGATGCCGAGGATCCTATGAAATTCATAGGATCTTTTTTGGGAAGTAGATGTATTTTCACTTTCATAAGTTGCTGATATTTTTTCATTATTATCCATGACGCTGTGATATATGTAATAAGATCGAAAAAAAATTTTATTAACGATCTATTCTATACTGTATTGATAACTGCATCCATTTATATATGGTTTCAATGAGTTGCCTCAGTACATTTTTTTAAACTTTAACTTCATTATTATATTTCTAAATCAAACTAGTGTTACAATAAATTTAGGGATATCAGATATCTTATCTGGTATGTACAGTATTCACATTTTAATTTCTGAAAGAATAATTTTATATATGTATTTCTCATTATGGAATAAATATATGCCATTTCATGCACGGATTATTCTAAACAATAAGTTCCCAGTTCAGGTTTCAAACTTTACTTTAGATCCCGCTCCGCATTATCCATTTTCTAGAATGTAAACATGCAAAACTATTAACAGTTAAAATCATATGAATTAACCAACTTTTTTATTGGCAGTTATAAATATAATTACGGTCGCGTGATAGTAGTAAATTACACTATTTATAATAGTCAATCATACGTGAAATCAAGAAATTTATCCTAAAATGGGTTTCCGGTATTTTTTTTCTTATTTTTTTTTTGTTTGCTTGTTACCGTTACGCATGTGCTTACGTACTACTTTTAAATTATTTGTTGCGTGACATATAGAACCAATTAATTGTTGATTATTTTTATCTTACTACGTTTTTAGAAAAGTATTATATTCACGGTTTTGGAAAATTGTGTTATACTCGTGTTATACTAATTTTGTCCCACAGCATCGCACACAATCTTAAGAAAAACTTTGTAACGACGCACATACGTACGTACCTACAACACTTATAGTTTCAGACATAAGGTCAATCACAATGTATTTTTTGCTAGATTGTCCTCACTATTCCAAATTATATATTATGATCAATTATTTTGCTGATCAAATATCACGAAATATTATGTAACATAAAGTCATGTGTAATACCAGTCACGCAATATCTCTTAAAAAAATATCAGTGTAACATTTTGTCACGAATCGGCTCGGTACTGTATCATGAAAAATTGCAACTCAGTCGTTAAATCCAATGGTATTTCGTAAGCATACCTATTGTCACGGGCAAAGAAGGATCGTCAAATTGGCGCAGTAATCTCGTGACTAAACCGGATATAATATTAGAATTCTGGATCCACGG